AAAATAAATAATAAATAAATAATATCTCAAAGTGCGTAAATTAGTAAGCTGTCCTGGGGTTGACGGGTTCAACTGAATGATCATTTAGTGGCTTAGATGAGGCAGGTCAAATTTGAGGTCAACTCAGTACACCGATGGCAGTGCCATGTCCTTGCAGCGGGTGTGTGTAAACTCCACTGGGTTCCTTTGTCTATAACAGAACAACAGTGTCGGGCGGGACGTTGGCTCGGTCTGCGGTGAAGTCATTTGATAAAACGAACTTCGACCACGGCAGTAACGGAGGACAGAACGAGTGACTTCAGATAAGGCTTGTTTATTTGGGCCAGTGATGTGGGAACAAGGATGCACTCGCGATGCCCTTACTGACATGACGACACTCTCAGACCTCTTTAAATGGTGAGGGCTTGACCGAGGGTTTGGATGTCTGAGTGTGTGTGTGTGTTAGGAGTCTAGAGTGCTTTCTATAACCTATTTGATGTTTCCACCAAGAGAAAAATGACAGGCCAATCGAACCTGCACTTAAAATCCTGACTGAGCACTTATATCCTCCCTGACACACAACAAAAGCAAAACAGATCTAATAAAGCTCACCTGAGTGAAGATTATCATGGCATTCTTCATAATAAAGCTTATTTTATGACTCACATCAGTTTCTAATCAACTCAAGTGAAAATTCAAACACAGTTCATGATCCACACATCATTTTCTTTTAAATCAAGATGAAACCTAATTTTCTACCTGTACCTACCTAATTTTTCGTAATGTGATGCTTTTCAGAGTAAAACATGGCGCATAATGTCAAAAAGCCTAATAATGTATGAAACGATTAATTATGAACAATAAGACCTAAAACAAAAATATTAAGGAGGTCAAATTTAATGTCCTATTGAATTTAAAGATGGGTCAATTACAAAGACCATATATGTACTTGGTTAACAGGATAATAATAATAACAACACTAACTATAAATACATATGAGCAAGATCACACGAGTAGATGTGAGATATGGCTGTATATTGGCACGGTTGTGATTCGGCCATGGGCACGAGGCCGCAGGCCAAGTGCCGTAGGTAATCACAGCGTGCCGATATACAGCCATATCTCACGTCTACTCGTGTGATATCGCGTTTATACAACAATTTGACGGCACAAGTGTGTAAATATATAGGAAAAACAACAACAGAGTGTCTTTAAAAACCCTTTTGTGCAGAACTACTTCCTTCCGCCACAGATTCAAATCACAGTTTGACAGTTTAACAGCTGAGCTGAAGCCTCCGTTACTAATTCGAAAACGTCACTTTAGAACTAGTAACGAAGAAACGTTGAGTTGCTTCATTAAAAGCTTATTTTATCACTATTAAAAGCTCACTGTATTATGAAGAGTATTATGAGAGAGAGAGAGATATGGACTGAGCGAGTGTGATTACCTGCATCTGATACAGCATTCATTCATCAGCTCATATTCATATTCACAATAAAACATGAGTTTGAATGTCCACTGTAGGAAAGCAATATCTTTGTCGTTCTATCTTTCATCTGTTAAGGGTGATTTCCGATGACAGTGCTGCTCAGTGCGTTAGAATTGCCCAAAATGAATTATATCTCATGTTTAACCACTATAGCGACATCAGAGCCAGCGGCAAATTCCAGAAGATCTGGCCGAGGTGAGGCTGCTCTCAGCGGTTTCATGAGCGCTGAATGGCCGCTGACGCCCTGGAGCTCATATCTCCGAAAGTGTCGAAGCAAATTTTCAAATAGACGTTATCTTTATTAACAAACCATATATTTGAAGTCTAAACAAGTACATTCCCTCCTAAAAAACTCTTAAAACTACATTCTGTGACACAAAGACAGTATTATTTTTTC